TAGGCAATTTGTAGAATGACTCTTTATAGCTTTCCGTCCACCTTAGATTATATGTGTCTCATGAGAGGCATTATATTTTTATTCATTCCTGTATCTCTGAGCTTAATCCAAGAGAGATGCTCAACAGATGACTCTGAACTAATCAATCATGTAATAAATTAATGACTCCATTTTGCACCACAAATTTTTGCCACTGTGCTGGTAAATGTGAGTTTTACTTAAAATGGATAAAATTAAGTGATTTTGGATAGAGAAGAAATCCCTCATTCATGCCCTGGCCCTCATTTCAAGCTCATGTTCTATCATCCTGTGGCTTGTAACCTACTATGGGCTATGAAATTAATTCCCGGGTCACCACTGACATTATCTTAATGAAAACTATCAGAAGCAGAAGGGAATGGGAGGACTCTCATATCCTTCTTCACCTGTTTCCAGTAGTCTGTTATTTTCATTGCTGCACCCAGGTGGAGAGAAGTACTGGCAAATAATAATAATAAGTAATAATAAAGTAAAACCCCTGGGGGATGAAGCTCCTGCTTTGATTTTTCTTTCACAAAAAGCAACAGAGCTCTCCAGGTAGGCCTTGGTCTCATTCCCTGAAAATTGGGGTAATAAGAACCCAAATTGGGGCTGGGGAGGTGGCTAAGTCAGTGGAGGTGAGTACGAAGACCTAGCTCAGTCTCTAATACCCAAATTTAAAAATAGTTTTAGTGGCAGGCACTCTTAATCTCAGCACTTGGAAAAAGCAAAGATGGGCAGAGGTCCCCGGAGCTCTGTGGCCAGCCAGCCTAGCCTAATGATCAAAATTCTGGGCACAAAAAAAAAAAAAATAATAATAATAATAAGACCAAGGTGAACAGCTCCTGAGAAAAGACTCTGGAGGGTGACTCTGGTGGGTACTCTCTCATGTATGTGCACACACATGCTCATGTTGAACATATACATACATACAAATAGGCTAGGCTAGTGGTGTGGTTCAGTGGCAGAACACTTGCCCTTGGTACCATTGCCAGTGCCTCACATACTAGAGATGATCAGAGCAGTGTACAAATTGGCTGGCACAGAAAGGACCTGGTTTAGCTTCAAGTGCTCAGCATGTTTATGGGAATTTCAGCACAAAGACCCCAAGCACCAGAAGCACACAGCACAGCACGTATCCCAACTTCCTCTGCTTTGCTGTCTAACCCCTCTGCTTTGTTCCAAATAGGCTGCCCAGCTGCCTTCGGGCTGTGATGCAGTCCCCAGCCTCCCAAACTTGTGTGCACTCATGAGCATCAGGCAAGTGTTTGAGTCTGGAGCCCAGGGCCATAGATTCTGTCTTTGAAAATTGCAAATGTAACCATGTCATTCCCCTGCTTCACATTCTTCTATGGTGTCCTTATACTCAAGATGATGCACTGGCTCCCTGATTTCCCTGAAAATGTCCTTTGTGATGTCCTTCCATCCTGCCCAGCCGCCCAGGCCTGCAGATTCCAAGCCAGCCATGCTTAGTCCCCAGCCTTTCTACGTTGCCCTGGCTGCCCAGGACACCCCTCCATCCTTCTGAGGTCTCCAGTAGGTATTGGCAGCTTCCTGGATTTTGGTACCACTCCATGTCCACTCCTTGCTCTGGACCCATTGCCCCTCTTTACTATTGTCTTATGTTATGGTGCCTGTTGCTGTGATAAAAACACCATGGCCAAAATCAACCTGGGAAGAAAAGGGTGTATTTCATCTTACAGCTTGTAGTCCATCGTCCAGAAAGTCAGGGCAGGAACTCAAGGCAGGAACAACAGGTGAATGCTGCTTACTGATTTACTCCTCATCACTCATTCAGCCTGCTTTCTTATATAACTCAGGACCACTTACCCAAGAATGGGACCACCCACACTGGCCTGGGCCCTCAAACATCAATCCCTAAGAAAACACCTCACAGACCTGCCTACAGGTTAATATGGTGAGGACATTTTTCAGCTGAGGTTCTCTCCCTCACCTCGTTCTAGCCTGCATCAGTTGACATAAAAACCAGCCAGCACACTGGCCCCTCCATTGTAGCACTGGCTTCAGCCCCAATTCTGCCAGCTGCTCCTGTGTTTGTCTTACTCCTCAAGCACAGGGGTTATGCCTTTCGTCTGATGTCACCAGCATCCAGCATAGCACTTTCCTCGGGAGGCCCGACAGAAAAGAGGGAAGGAGGCAAACACTGAGTGGAAATTCTTCATCTGACAAATCCCCACATTTCCAAGGTCAGAAGGCAACTCTGAGTCTTAGAACTTGGAACCATATTCTAAATACCAAGCCCCTGTGGGCACAGCCTCAGAAGAAAATGGAGCTCCAGAATGAAGGGGTTCAGAGCGCACTAGGGCAAGCTGTAGGCCAGCACAGTCCCACAGACTTCACAGCTAGAGGAGGGTTTTTAGGAGGAATGTAGGTTTGTACAAAGCCAATCCACTTAACAGTGAGAGATCACCAAGGAGCCAGGAGCCTGGATGTCTCTTTGGCCTAAAGAAATTTAAGGTGGGGCAGGAATAAAACTATTCTCCCTACTATAGTGAGGTGGGGAAGGGCACACACATGCGCACACGCACGCACATGCTCATGTGGGCACACATGCATTCACATCTCTTATGTGTATGAAGGTACATGCAAATTGTGTACATACATAGAGTCCAAAGGTCAAGGTCAGGTGGTCTCCTCCATTGATCTCCACATCACTTTTTGAGGCAGGGTCTATTGCTGAACCCAGAGCTTATCAAATTTAGCTAGGCTCACTGGACAGTGAGCTCTACCCTCCCCCTGCACTGGCGTTACAAATGTGTGCCACCTCTTCCAACTTTTTACATGGGTCTTGGGGAATCTAGATTCAGTTCCTCATGCTGGTATGGCAAGCACTTTATAGACTGAGCCGCTCATCTCTCTGGCACCCAACTTTAGACTTTTGTCACCCACAAATAGCATGGATGCTGGAACACAGTCATGGCAACTGAAGTGATGTCTCCAGAGCCACCTTCGCCAGAGCACAGACCCTTGTCGGGACAGCAGTGTTGATACTGACTAGTCAGGACCAGGGATGCAGATGGACATCTCATGCACCCCAATTTATCTGATTAACACACCAACCTAAGAAGATAGTACCTTGATTTTACAGATGAGAAAACTTAATAACCACAGAAGCAGAGGAACTTGTCCCAGCTCACACTGGAAAAGGACCAAGCACAAATTCAATCCTGGCTGACTTTAAGTATCTTGTTCTCTTCATGAATTCCTATCCCTCTTCATTAGAGTTTGAGTCTAGTGGTCCTGCTTCAGGATGAGAGAGGGTCAAATCATGCAAGGAAGGCTCTATCACCATTTCCGCAGACACTACTAAGGTAGGGGCTTGAGATGCTTCTGTTACCTGGCAAACCACACCCAGCAAAGATATTCCTGAGCTCCCTGGTGCTTACCATCCATCCCTCCCAAAAAGAGCACTGACTCCAGCCAGACCCCCAAAAGCCAAGAGGAGTGGAGTCACCTACCCCAAAGGTGGTGCTTCTACCTTAACTGTTAGCTCCTAAGCACCAACAGTGTACAGGGACCTCTCATTCACACAGCAGTAAAAGAAAAGCTGCCCAGTCCAAAACACATATGTACGTGTGTGTGTGTGTGTGTGTGTGTGTGTGTGTGTGTGTGTGTGTATACACTCAACCCCAGATACTCCCCAGGCCCTGAGCAACCTGTCCTCCTGGCAGAGGGCCTACCATGATGGTTAACAGACCTCCCAGTCTCAGGAAAGGTAAGCAATGATGGATGTCACTTTAGAGAACTCAGAGCGTCTCACCCCATCCTCCACCCATGGTAGATGGTCACTGAGATCCCCAATTTGATTTGCCTCTCTCTAGCTTAGTTTCCTTGTTCAAGTACAGAGAACTTTTTACCAAAGTAGCAGCCATTGAAACCTCAGCACAGCCAGTGATGCAACTGGATTTAAAGGAAAAGAAACAAGACTGGAGAGCTATATGTGGAGGCCTCAAGTAGAAAAGGCAGAGTGGGAGTGGGCGGAATGGGGGGGGGAGTTGATGGGAGGGAGAGGGAACTGGGATTGGTATGTAAAATAAGATTGTTTTAAATTTAAATAAAAATTAATTAAAATAGAAAAAGCAGAGTGGGTTATTTTGGAAATTTCCCTGTCACAGCTTCCAGCAGGGTAGGAGTTAACCACATAACACACTTTTAGGGTTGATGGGGGGGAGATGGGGGACAAGCTTTCCCTGGAATCCACCCTGCAGTTCAAAAAGGAAAGTTCTGGTTGCCCCTCCTTGGTACACACTGTACTGGTCAGAGCTGCCTTCTCTCCAGGAGAGAATAAAATATGTTCATCACAGACAAACAAGATCCTGGACTGAGGACTGAGTTCCTGGTACCCCAATATCAAGCTAAAGAGTTCGCTGACTTGAGTTAGGGTGGAGAAAATAAAACGGGAACAGAAGCAGCTCCAACAATACTTAATGATGAGGATAGGACCTGGGCAGCAGCAAGCCAGCTTCCAAGAGTAAGACTGGTTCTGCAAATGTGGAAAGAAGGTTCTCCAGGTTTCCCTACACGAGTGGAATATGTGACTTTGAGTTGGGTCCCACTGGGTTTTCAGGTCAGAAAAGTGCCCATTATCAGTAAGTGGTAGTAATGAATGATAACAATTCCAGCATTCTGGAATCTGAGACAAGAGGATTCAAGGCTGCAATTTCAAAAACAAAAACAAAGCAAACAAGCAATAAAAATGTGCCTCTCATTTTTCAGTATTTGCTAAACGGATTCCAGAAACAAAGGGGCACGAAGACGTCACCACTGAAAGAGAAAACACCTTCACTGTGGTGTCATCACTTGTGCCTGACTCTCCTTACACACACACACACACACACACACACACACACACACACACACACAGAGCACCTTCAAGATTCCCAGGCTCTCTCCTTCAATCCTCAGTTCTCACACATTCTGCCATATACCCCACATATAAACTTGACTCAATAACTATACCCTTGAGGAAAACAGAAGAACAAATTTACTAATCACCTAGTGGTTGTAAAGTAAAATTGCAGGCATAGTGATCAAAAAAGAAACAATCAACTTGGTATTCCTCAGCTTCTAACACAAAAAGGGAAAGGGGAAGACACATGGGCCTAAGAGGCTCGGATGCTTCAGGGATAGAGTACTGAACACAAACCAGCAAGGGGAGCTCAAGGATCACCCAAAGAGGCAATCCGGGCTCCGTTCTGATTGTTCTCCATAATGCAGATTTGAGTTGCCACTCTTGATTTTCAGAAGCCAGAAATCCTAATCTAATATGAAGTCTCTTGATTCTTCGAGGCAACTCAGTTTTCTTGGAAACATTAAATGAACTGAATCTATCAGTGAGCCTTGCAGCTTCCTGTACTCTGCTGGAGAGGTAAACAGCATCTCCCCTAACTGTGGTATTACACTGCCACTCTCCAGCCACTGGTTGCCATTGCAGCAAAGGCATCCAGGATGAGGCTCTCAGCTTTACTCTGCACCCAGGGCTAGATGCCAGAACTCCAGAGAACAACTAAATCTACAGGAAGTGGAAGGCTCAGCAGAGCCACGCAGGGGCAGAGACTGGAGCCTTTCAGATTAAATGGCCGACTGCTCTTGCAGGAAACCCTCGGGGTTGGGAAGGCTTTTATCTGGCTCAGAAGCCAGGGCTGCCTCTCGGAGGACTTCCAGGTGCTCCTCAGCAGCGGACAGTGACTGGTCGATCCAGTCCAGGCCCCCTGTTAGGTGGCAGGCGTTCCTGGTCACTAGCACCAAGTGACTGACGGAGAGGAGCAAGGCAGTTGTCCTAGGTTCAGAGAGAGAGATAGGGAGGGAGAGAAAGAGAAAGAGAAATCAGGCTCTGTAGAAAATGGGGAACTTTGCACAAAAGCTCAAATGGATGCACACTGTATATTAGTGTTCCCCAAACTGGAGACCCTTTCCTGGAAGGTGGGCAGTTATGAAACATAATGGATCCACACTGAAATACATGGCGATTGCTGGCTTAAAGGAGGTTAACTGTCTTGGAGCCCTTGATGAGCTTGACAAAACTCCAAGGGGAAACGGGAGAGCTGTGCCTGGTAAATGTATTCAAGACGGTGGAAGCGGATTTCAGCAACACATGCATTAACAGCTCCCAGAAGGGTGTTTTATGAAACAGCTTGGATGTGGTCAATTGGATGAGCAGATCTCCAACTGCTGCCCACTTAAAGATGGGCAATATATATATCCCTCTCCAGTGAACATCCTTTATTGATCACAAATCAATAAGCCCAGGGCTGGCTTACTCAATGCTAAAGAAAATGTAATTGAAAATCAAATCTAGGAGGGTTTTGTTTGTTGTTGTTATTTCCATGGGTGGTTTTTTTTTTTTTTTTTTTTTTGATTGAAAGATTCACTATGAAATTATTTTTATATGGTGAGAGTGCCAGATGTTTTCAGGGCTCCACGGAGAAGCTGAGCAGCAATAGGGACAGGGCAGGCAAACCACCACAGCAGACATGTCATGACTGACTTACTGGCCACCTGGTGACCATCACACAACATACTCATGGGAATCTCACAAATCTAATGGAGGTATCTAATGGGTTTACATTCATTCAGCAGGGCTGAGTGCATTCTGTGGAGTGGAGGAGGGTCTGGAAAAGAGGTTCCTGTGATGCCTGATGGGGACTGAGTTCCACTGTGGCTGACACAGTACATTTTCCTGTTGTTGGATTTACCACAGCCCTGCTGGGCAGTGCTTCCAGCAAGGTGTGGCTGGTTTTTTGTTTTGTTTTGTTTTGTTTTGTTTTTTTGAGTCCAAAGATCAGAGGGAGGAATAGGGAGTGAAGGACAGGGAGGCCAAGTTAGCATAGCCAGGTAAGAGATAAGCATGCACATCCAAGCCTGATGGATGACTTGCTTCCTCATCTCAGGGATTCAGAAAGAAGTCTGGGCTCTATCACCTGCCAGGCTCGACTCACTGGTTGACACTCGACTCAGTGTTGACATGGAAGGGGATGAACCTAAAGTCAGGGTGGCCTTGGAAATCTGAGAAAAGATCGTTTTTAAACGAGCTAGGCAGTCAACCTGGCAGGCTTGATAACAGCGATCCTGACAGGGGACAAGATGAGTGGGCCCTCCTCCCCATCTCACCTTGCATCCAGGAGCTTGGGGTCCAGTGGAGGGTACATTGACTTCACAACATCATCCACTCTGAGGGAAGGCAATAAGGACAACTGTCAACATTTCACCTTCTCATCCCCTTTTCTCCCTCCTTACTTCCCATCCTCAGGCTAGACTTCTTTGTTGGCATTACACACTCACTCCTTGGGGTCCTTTCTCTAGCTGCTTCTGCATACCCAGACAGAATCTAACAGAAAGACTTCAGGTTCTGCTTGGAAAATATTCTGCTCTCTGCTTTTGCCTTCATTCCAATGGTTAAAACGTGTGAAGTCATACATATGAAGTGATGCTCAGGATTACTGCTGAATGTAAAAGGTAATCGGCAAGCAGCAGCACGCTGTACCCCTCTGCATATATAAATATAAACAATAAACCGAAGCTGTGAAATGCAAGAGGGAAGGTCTACAGGAATGTTCGTCATTTGATGGTGGCTACATTCCCAAATTGGGAAGGGTGGAATTAGGGAACATCCCACTTTTCAAATAATCTATTTCTCACTTTTGTGTTTTTTAAGAGATGCTAATACAGTGACATAGAGCACTTAAAAAAAAAAAAAGCTACAGCTTAATGTGGGTTCAAACTACTCTGCTGTGTGTCTTTTCCATGCTGCATAGTCCATGACTAATCTTTTAAGTTTCTACCTGTTCTGATTGGGGGGGGGGCAAGGTTTTGCTCCCACGGATCACCTGATAAAAAGAAAAGAATGAAAGTTGTGGCCAGAGGTACGGTGGTCCTTGGCATCTGTCCCAGCTAGCCCCTTCCCTCTATGCAGAGCCCAAGGCAGACGCCACTCTCCTGGAAATAATAAATCATCATCGTAGCAGATAGAGAAAATAAAAACAGGAAGGACACGGGGACAAATATCAGCCAGAGTGAGAATGAAGAAAACGAGAATTCTGGCAAGAAACATGAAGGAGGTGGTCCCAGGTACTTGCAGAGAGCTCTACCCTCCTGGCAATGCCACACTCACCTTGGCACACTGTTATCTGTGTCCCCTCTCAAAAATCTCAGCACCCTGTTTATAACCTGCACCTCGGGGCCATCCAGGCCCTGAGAGTGGATCTCAGAAGTGACAAAAAGCACAAGGAAGCATCCAGCTGATGAGGGCGGTGCAGTCTAAAAGGGGTGGGAGGGCTCTGTCTGGCATGAGCTCCAGCCTGGGTGGGGGTGTCTCCTTCAGAGGCTGGTGCAAACCAGGCAGGTACACCCACGGGGCATCTCCAGAGCCAGGAGCTGTTCTGGCTTGCATCCTCCCTCTCTTTCTCACCTCCTCGAACTACCTAGACAGAGTCCAAGTATGCCAAGTCTTGTTTTTCTCAGAGGATCTTACAGGCTGCTCCTCCTGGGCTTTTACTAGCTTACTCTAGACAGAAAAGGCTGGTTGCTTATGATTTCACCCAGGCACCAGGAATGCACACTGGAGGCCATTCAAGGCACCAGGGGGGTCAGGTGACTGATAAGAACACTTTCCTGGAACGGGTCATTTGACAGCAAACACACATACCAGCCACCGGGTGGTAGCACACATTTAGCACTGCCTTTTGCTCTAAGAAAAGGGCCTTATTTTTCTTTGCAAAGTCCGGTTCAGCTGAGGGGGTGTAGTTGTTGACTGGCACTCTTGCTGGGTGCCTCCCACAAGGGATTTTGCAGACAGCCTGGAATTCGAGAGGTCTGAATGTTCTCAAGCTTCACCTCCCACCCAGTGCTAGGCTGGGGCCCAAGCAGCAAATGAGCGCCACCATGAAAGGAAGGTATCCCTCAAACTAGTCCCCAGTATAGCTAACAGGCTGGACCTAAGGGCATGGCTGGGAAGTCACTGGAGATAGTAGCATAGGAGCCAGTGGGAAATGTGCCTCTTGACAGCCACAGTGTAGCAAGGGATGGGAGGCTGACCAGGTGAGAGCCTGAGTGGACACCATGGAGCTGATGACTGTCAGCCAGTTATCTCGGAGCTGTTAAAGGACTTGTGCTGGGGATGGAGAGATGGCTCAGAGGTTAAGAACACTGACTGCTCTTCCAGAGGTGCTGAGTTCAATTCCCAGCAACCACATAGTGGCTTATAACCATCCATAATGATATCTGATGCCCTCTTCTGGCATGTAGGGGTAAATGCAGACTGTATACATAATAAATAAATCTTAAAAAAAAAAAAAGAAAAGAAAAAGGACTTGTGCCTTAGGAATACTGGGCTGTTCTGTATACACTGGGTGATCTGGTAGCTGAGACTGGAGACAGGCCTACTGGTTTACAGCATTGCTTACCCTTGCTGGCTACCTCAGCTTTCAGCTTCCCCTGTGGAGTATGGGACTTCACAGCCACTGACCACTCACCTGGGGCTAATCCGTTTGGCCACCACAATGATGTCGCTGACACTCGCTGAAGTCTTCATCTTGGCCCCAGAACCCATTGTCATGGCAACAAGTTTTTCTGTCAGAGTGTGGCAAATCTAATATAACAAGGAGGTAATAGGTGATGAGGGTGACCCGGCTCCCCACCCCATGCCAAGAGCTCTACCACCCTGACAAAGACAAATCTGGCCCCATCTTGGGCACTGCCACAAAGCTTCTACCCTAATGATGAGAGGAAATGGAGTGGAAAGAGGCAAAAGCCAATAGTTGGGGGTGGGGAAGCTCAGATCAAGGACAGGACTTCAGCTCAATGAGGACTAATCCATCTAAGAAAAATCATGTGCTCTAATTTTGCCATTTTTGTAAGGAGTCTTTTCTATCCCCTCCCCTCTCGGTTTAGACTTCCAAATGGATAATATCTCCAGTGGGGAACCGCAGAAATGGGGCTGAACAAAGGGTAACTGTTCTCTTTAGGTACATTCTCCAATAATGGTGCCTAGTTTGGCAATTTTTGAGGGTCTGGTACTATTACTGTTTGTCCAGGTGATAATGGAAGGGCCCTGGGAAACGCAGGCCAAAGACAAAATGGGTTTCCTCCTCTTCCACCAGCACTGATAGCCACCTCCAAGGCTTATTGTCTCCTCCTGTAGTCTCCCATGCAGAGAGAGCCCCATTACCTGCTGGTACTCAGGGCTAGGAAACAAAAGCAGAAGAAGCCCAGGAGGCCACTGGGGAGCAAGGACCCATACTCCCTTCATACTCAGGGGAGATAATGGAGCAAAGGCATTCTGGGGTCTCAAGAGGAACCTCAGCAGCCCTTTTCCTTATCCAAGCTCCCCAATCTAAGAAGTGGGGCCCTCTCCCTCTGATGGATAAAAACAAGAGAGAAAGAAAAAGGCAAAACAAAGCCCGGGACACATTGTGGCTGGGCAAAGGGAAATGTAATATGATTTATTGCTCCAGCCAGTGTACCTAGCTATCTGTGTCTACAACGATATCTGTATGTGCAGCCATATTTATACACCCAAGGAGCTTCCGGCCTCTGAGGCAACAATTTCCTACAGAGGTAGCCAAGGAAGAGGCAGATAAAGAGCTTTTTAATATCCTGTACTGAGTGACCCTAGAGACAACCCAAGTTGTCTCTTTTGAAATCTTGAATAATGAGTAGACAAAGAGATAAGGTTACTGACGTGCAGAAACCCATATTTGCATCTTGTTAAACATTTGCATGTTATTATTTTTCTATTAGGACGGATTATATCAGGCAAGAGTTGAGAAATGAATGCCGAAACTATGAAAATAGCTAAAGTGCAATTTGAATGTAATTTTCCAAAGGTTTCGGGACTTCAAAAACCAAAGTCTGCCTCCAAGTGGAAGAACTTGTAGTGTGGGTTTTTGGTTTTTTTGTTTTGTTTTGTTTTGTTTTTTAACTCTGATTATTCCATTTGTCTGATTCTTGTCACCAAAGAAGCCAAGGAAGATTTTTCCAATAACTCAAACCCGAACTCAGAATGCATTCCATGGACTGAGTTTGGTATTAATAAACAAAGGAGGCCAGAGAGGCTGGAACCTCATTTGATTCAGCAGCTCCATGGCCTCAGACACCCAGATTTCCCCATGGTTGGTAAAATTATTACTGGTGATCCCCCAAGCTGTCCTTCCCACAGATCACTGTATTAGGAGGGCCAGGAGAGATAAAGCCTAAAGAGAACTTTTAGGATGCTAAAGTAAAACAGTTAGGAGGACCAGGAGAGATAAAGCCTAAAGAGAGCTTTTAGGATGCTAAAGTAAAACAGACCCAACAGGGAGAGATGGAAGCAGACTGTAGAAATACAGCAGGAGGCTAACAAGGGCTGCTTGCAAGGTCAACTCCATGTACACCAGGGGTGCTCCAGCAGCCACCCTTGGCTCCACAGGAAAATCAGAGTATTACCTTCAAGATGGCGATGCAGTGGGACATGAGGCCCCTAAGAAGACAAGAGGAAAGTGTCAGTGCTGCCCTAAAGAACCCAGCTCCTTCTGGCTACCCCCACTGCTCTTCAGCCAGCACCAAGTGACCACAGCAGGCACCATCTCCAAGCAGAATAACCCATTCCTCTACTCAGCTCTGTCCCCACCTGCCAAGTTCAACATTTCATATCTAAGTGTATCCACATGCCCTCTCCCTTAGACTCAGCCTGGTGAATTCCTCTTTCGGTAAACTCAAGTCAAAAAGCACCCATTCAGGAGAGGGGCTTATGAGGACCCACCCTCCATAATGGCTCATAGGCAGTTAATGGTTGTTGGATAAAGGAGAAACATTTTCGTTAGTTAGTGGTGTAGCCACTTTGGGATGGCCACACTTCTATAAATAATTCCTGTAAGCAACCATAGTTAAACTAAGTAGGACACACACACACACACACACACACACACACACACACGCACCCACGCACGCACGCACGCACACACGCACGCACATATAAAAGACATAAAAGAAGGTATAAGGGGACTACCTAAGAAGAGAAGGGTATCATAGAGGTAGGAGGAGTACAAGAAATGGTTATGGGGTGAATGTGATTAAAATATATTACATACACTGTGAAATTGTCAACATGAAACTCATTAAGTACAATTTAAAATGTTTTTTTAAAAGGCACCCCTCTGGGACATGCTTCATCAAAGCTACCTTGATCTTCTTACCCCAGGCAGACTTAGACACTGCTGACTCCCTGTGCCACTCCTCATGCACTGAGATCCCCTAGACTCTCTGTGACACTGACTTTGGTGCAATTCTATCTCCCTGTCACTCTGACAACCACAGGGCCTGGCCCCATACCTGTCTATAGTGTCCCATAAACGTATGTCAGAAAACAAAACGATAAAGGGATAATGAAAGGAAGTGGCATACACTTCTCAAAACGCAGTCCTGTTGAACAGACAGCCCTCTGTAGGACACTGAAAGCAAAGGCCACCTGGAGTTGACTCAAAATCCCTGGACAGTCCAAGAATAACCCAACCACACTGGGGGACTTTATAATTATGTCTGCCACAGGTCTAACTGCCTGGGTGTTCAAATCTACAAAGTCAGAGGGATGGTACAAGAACAAACAGTCATGCCCTATACTGACATCCCTCACCATGAGGACAGGGGAAGAGTTCTGGATACACAGTGGAATGTTCCAGTAAAGGAACCCAGAAGTTCCTTTGCCATCCTAAAGGGCTAGAAAGCAAAAGTTCCCTGGGACTTACGAGGCATCTTCAATCCAGTCTTCATTCTCCAGAATGGCCTCAATGTGGGGGTTGGTGATGACAACGTCATCAAGTTCTAACTCTGAGGGCTCAGACTGGGTCTCCATTGCACCGATGAGGTCCACAATGGGCCTAAAAGGAATGGTCACTGTTAGTGTCTCATGACAAGTGCCTGTGGCTGACCCTCTTCTCATCACAGCCACTGCTATAGTTTAGATGTTGAATGTCCCCCCAAAGGCCTATGTGTTAAAGGCTTGGTCCCTAGGATGGTACTATTGGGAGGTGGGTCCTTGAGGAGTGGAGCCTAGTGGGAGGACTTTAAGTCTTTGAGGCAGAACCTTACAGGGGATTGTGAAACTTTGGCTTTCTCCTTTACCTCTTTTTTTGCATTCTGACCATGAGATGAGCAGTTTGCCTCTCCACAAACTCCTATATGGCAGCACCATCTGATGTCTAAATGCAATAAGTCTACCCTATTGTGGGTCAGAATCATTAAATCCATGAACCAAAAGTAACTTTTTCTCTTTATACTAAGTTATCTCATGCACTTGGTTATGGTGACAAAGGCATAGACAATTTAGAGGAGAGGCCACTAGTCCTGAATAGAGACTTAATCGTAATGTGCCCATAGCACAAGACAAGGCACACAGCTAAACAGTGAGTCAAGAAGGCAGGCCAAAATGCAAGTGAGATAGGACGAGCTAAACAGCTGGAGAACAAGCAGAGATAGCATGATTATAGAGAAGTCTTACACAGAACAAGTGATCTTCCTTTATTCCCCTTCAAGCCTATGTTAGCACCGAAGGGTTGACATTCTGATCACACAAACCTACCTGTGTGTACAACATCACTCTTGGAAACCACCTCTCCCCTCTGAATAAAACTACCTCCTCCTTCACAACAGGGTTCTGTAGAACCTGAACTGCAGAGACATTCCTTGCAAAGCAGAGCCTTGGGGCGGGAGGGAATCTAAGTGGGCATTCACAGGTTGTTAACTACTCAGCCACTCAGCAGAGATGTTGACCTAGTTAAGATCAAGAAATATAAGAAGCTTAAGGTTGGTTGCTCATGTCCTTTATGGACCTCTCCATTCAAAATTCCTAAGCTGACCTTGCTTGCAAAATCAACTTCACATAACAATGCATGATGAAGGAGACAGGCTATGCTAGCACTGCATGATCTGGAACACCTGTTGCTTAGGTGTGTGGCTGAGTGTGGACATCACATTTCCATTTCCAAAGTTTTGGGTGAAAAAGGATTTGGCTCGTCTCCTGACAAACTATGTGACCAGCATTGCATCACAAAGATGGGGCTTTCATGTCAGGCAAAAACATTCAGTGACTTCTCTGTGTCTGAAATAAACAGAAAAAGGGGTGTCTCAGGATATTATTGTTCTTAAGGAATGTTGTTTTTATTTTGTTTTGTTTGTATGTCTTAGAACTCACTCTATAGACCAAGCTGACCTCAAACTCAGAGATCCTCCTGCCCCTGCCTCTCAAATGCTGGGATTAAAGGTGTGTACCACCCAGGGGAATCTCCCAGGAGTCTACAGGGAGGGCCCCAACTTAGACTCCTAGCCATAGTGAATAAGTAGCCTGAACTGGTCATCTCTTGTGACCAAATTGGTGCCTGGCTCAACTGTCATCTGAGAAGCACCACTCAGCAACTGACGAAAGCAGAAGCAGAGATCCACAAACAACATTAGGTGGAGTTTAGGAATCCTGCAGAGGAGGAAGAGAAAGGTGCCAGAGGAGTCAAGGACACCACAGGAAGTCTCATACAATCATCTAACCTGGGCTCATAGGACCTCACAGAGACTGAATGGACAACCAGGGAGCCTGCATGGGACTGACTTAGGCACTCTGCATATATATTACAGTTGTGTAGCTTGGTCTTAACAGTGGGAACAGGGGCTGTCTCTGACTCTTTTGCTGGCTTTTGGAACCCTACTTCTCATACTGGGTCTCCTTGCCCAGCCTTAATACATGGGGAAGTGCTTAGTCTTACTGCAACTTGATATGCCATGTTTTGTTGATACTCATGGGAGACATGCCTTTCCTGGATGGAGACAGAAGAGGAAGGGATGGAGGAGAGGCGGGGTTGGAGGACTGGGAGGAGAGGATGGGGGAAGGCTGAGACCAGGATGTAAAATAGATAGATGAATTAAAAAAAAATGTTTCAAGGTGTGTGCCATCACTGCCCAACTTAAGGAATGTCCTTAAGCTCTGGTCTTCATAAAGTCTATATAAAGGAACCATTTAAGAGAGAACAGGTTGAGCTGAAGTGGCCCAGCACCAAATTGCTTCTGTCCCTCTGGCTTCTGTTGTCAGTGCTCAGCTCTCCTCCCTCCCTATCACAGTCTACTCACTTGGAGTCATAGCGCTGTAGCAGGTCTCGAGGCCGGCAGTAACGCTGCCTACAAACCACCACCAAGGCAGCAAATGAGGCCAGGAAGATGGTGGCCAGTACACCTATGGCGACGATCACCACAGTCTCCATGCTTCCAGCAGCTCCCAAATATAGTCCACTCACATCCTCGGAGCAGGTGGAAGCTGGAGAGACCAGAACATCAAGAAGATGTGGTAAAGAAAAGGAAAAAGGAGGGAGGAGCGACTAGGTCTTCCCCGTTAGAAAAAGCAATTGAGGATGGAAAGGGTAGTGAGTCACCTACAGTCCCTTAAGTCACCTACAAACCCAAGGGACGAAAGCAACATGCATCTTATCCCATGCTCAAACTTCCCTTCTCCTTTATGACAGGCTATCTTCCAGTTAGACTGAGATAGCTTTTGAGGCTTGGGACACACTTGTACCAGCATTTTGATGATTTCACACTACAAAACATGCGAGTGAAAGAATACCACAATGGGAGCAGAAGGTAGGGGTGTGCTTGATGAGGAGGTCGTCCTCCGTATCAGCCACTCTGTGTGTTAACTTGCCTACCAAACAGCTTTATGAGGCAGGTGTTGGCATCTCTATGATAAAGAAACTGAGGTTCCAGAAGGTTAAGGAATTTATCCAAGTCTACATAGCTGGCCAGCTGACACCACCCCCGCCTAAACTGAAATCAATAGTCACCTTCCTTGTCCTTTCTAAGGAAGAATGAAAACTCTGCAATGGGTTCTGACTGGAGTATGTCTTGCCTTTCACCATCCAGGAGGGTCTTTCACATCAACAGTGAGGTATGGCTTAACAACAGGCTTCTGTTCTGAGAAATGTAATGCCAGGTGTTGTGGTCATTGTGAAACGCCCAGATCAAACTTACACAAACTAAGACCAGCTATGATGTCATTACATAATATAATTCTATGGGACCACCACCCTATATGTGAGCCATTACTTACTGATAAGTGATGTGGTCTATCAGTGTATGTTAAACTCAAGCCAGAGCACCTTGGGGAAGTACCCTTCATGGCATTCTTTCAGGCCTCCCATCAGTATCTCTTTGAGTAGTCTCCTCCCCTCCCTGAGTTTAGTTTATTCGCCTACAAAAAGGAATGCTCTGCCTTAGCAGTCTCTATGACCCCAGGATGGTCCATCACTTCCATTTGCCATGTCTCCAAAGATGCAAACTCTCTTGATGGTCACTCAGGGAGCATATATTGATTATCTACAATGCAACAAACACTAAATTCTGAAGACTAAAGAGGAGAAGATAGACTCCCCTCCCCCATGTTAATGAACTGGTGGGAAAGAAGGGTTCTGCTCTGTGTTAATGGTCTGTGTGCAGGCTTGGACAGTAAAGAGATTACATTTGCATGATACTTTCTAGAAAAGCCTCATTCACAGACTTGGGAATGGGGTAAGCAGGATGGGGGTTTTACTGGCTTAAATTGCCAAGGACACCTCCTCAGGGGTCTCCAAGGCTGCCCTCTCAGAAGGATTTTTTTTTTTTTTTCATCTTGTACCTCTGTTGGGAAACCAGGAAGAGAGCGGTACAAGGGTCTAGACACACTCTATACGGTCTTTGTATATCCATGTTAACATTTTTCTTTCCTCTATCCTTACTCATGTCTTCCTTTCTAGACTTTTTCCTCCAGTAACCCCTTCTCCAGGCTTCCCACATCCTCCCCCATGCCCCCATCCATCCAAGCCTCCCCCTGCCTTCCTCTTCCCTCTTTTCCAATAGTTTTCAGTGTTTCTTTTGAGCGTCTGTGCTCTCTTGAACTTTTCTTCAGCTTTCCTTTGCGATCCCTCGGTGTGGGCGTTCCTCTTTGTGCGCTTCTCTTTCTTTGTGTGTTCTCTGTTATTTCGGTGACTTTTCCTCTCTCCTTCTATCTCTCTCGCTCCATCTCCCTCTCTCCCTCCCCCTCCATTTAATTCTAAACCCAGCAGGATTCAACTCCTTGATCCTCTCTTCCTTCCTTGGCCCTGCCAGCCGCCACTAGAGAAGGCTGGCTCCACTCTTAAGTGCGCGCTCAAGTTTGATCCCCAACTTGTGCGCTGCCCCGCACCCGCATCCGCCGCCCGGAGGAACAAAGCAGGGTCCGGGCAGCCCGCAGAGAGTCCTCCGGCCTCCCAGCCCGCGTGTTCACCCACCTCAACTGGGGATCTGGAGCGCGCCGGATCCCCGCAGTCACCCCAAGGCCAAGTCCGAGTGCCGCCCGCAGCAGCCAGCAGCGGGGCATGCCGGGAGCGCGGGCGGGCCGACGACCCAGATCCACCCCCCGGCGGGCTGGCCCAGCCAGCACACCCAAATACCCCGCTGCCAGGCGCCGCCATCCCCGCCAGGCTCCTGGCTGCCCGGGGATTGGCGTCGCCCGAGGCCGGGATAGCTGGGAGACAGTCACTGGCTACGGGAGAACCCCTCCACGTGCACCCACGGAGGCCAGGGCAGGAGGGTGGCGCGAGGGCCATGCGCCCACACCCACTGTGCTTCCAGCTGGCGATCCAGGGATAGGGTTGGAGCTTCCACATGCAGTGCCAGGTCGCTGCCCTAGCCTGCTCTTTGCAGATTGATTGTAGAGACTCACTAGCTTTGGGCTAGTCGACCTCCCTTCTCTGTGCCTTAGTGCCCTCCTCCTGGGAGTAGGAGTCAGGATCAATAACACACAGCATGCATTTTCTTGGGGAGAGTCTGGCTCAGGGCTAACAGTGAATCAGTGACCTGACCTAAGACTCTCTCTAATCACTGTCTAGCCAGGACGCTGGCAGGCAAGAGTGCCTTTGATCCCATCCTAGATATTCCACCGCAAAGAGGTCATTCTGTCAGGAAACAGTCCAGGCCGCTAACAGTCACCAGTAGACTGCTCTTTAGGCCTAAAGATTCCAGCTGATCCTAAGCAGCAGCTTAGGATCTCAAAGGTCCACACAGGCCTAGGAAGCAGACTGGAGGCTATTTGGGTAGGGATCCCAAAGTAGAGAGCAGTGTTTCTCAACCTGTTAGAATGCCCCTTTACAGGGGTAACCTAAGACTGTTGGAAAACACAAATATTTACATTATGATTCATAACAATAGCAAAATCACAGTTATGAAGTAGCAATGAAAATAATTTTATGTTGGGGGGGGTCACCACAACATGAAAAATCGTATCAAAGGGTTGCAGCATTAGGAAGGTTGAGAACCACTGCCCTAGATTATGAAGACCATGTTCTACAAGGAGAAATGAACGGGCTCCAGATGGTCTATCCCAAGGAAAAATCAGAGCCTGAGTGGCCAAGGGAAGCATGGGTGGAGTGTCTAGGTCTAAAATAAGCCTACTTACAAGGAGTTAAGACCATAAGGAATATAGGATGCAGATTAGGTCTCCATCAATATGATGCAGTGTCTCAAACCACTGCCTGCAGGCTCATCCAGCCCCTGGTGTTTTTGTTTATTTTGGTTTGTTTGTGCTTCTGTTTTGCCCTGCTAGAGGTTGAATTTAGGACTTCCTGCATGTGATAAGATGTCCCACCCACTGTAAGGGGTGCCACTGGTCCAGAGTTGTATAAGAAAGCAGACTGAGCAATCCATAAAGAACAAGCCAGTAAGGTCCTGTCTCCAGGTTCCTGCTCCTAGTTCCTTCCCTGCCTTCCTCTCATGAAGGGCTACAGCCTGTGAGGTGAAATGAACCCTTTGTTTCTCAAGTTGCTTTTGGTCATGGTATTCACAGCAATAGAAACTTAACTAGTTTAAGAAGACACTTGATGTTAACGCCTATCTTTCACAGGCACAGTCTAGTGGTAGAATGAACCCTATGTACACATGGCCCTGAGATTGATCTCTAGCACTGGAGAAAGGAACAGGAGCTTTGCTTCCAAATCTAGGTGTCTTCTCTGGAAGAGAAGGCTTAAGAGTAGTTTTAGCACCCTCTGAAGTGCTTTCATGAAGACCTTTGGAGCACTATGATGTGTAGGGAACGTTCACAGCACAAATATCAGAAAGGGGCACCAGAGGCAGCGTCTTCATTTCCTAGAGAGTCTCCAAGATGAACTGTTTCTGTTTGCCTTGGTTGGACGACACAGTTAAACTATATGATCTTTGTGGCCAGCTCTGAGATCTTATGGACACACAAGTCATGTAGTAGCCTTGAAGCATTTGTTACACAAATGAATATTTTCCAAAGCAAATATATAAGCTGATAATATTAACTCATCCCAATGGACCACATATTACCCAGCCAATCAGGCAGGAAAGGGGGTTCTAGATACTACATACCTTTCCCAGCCCACTGTCTCTAACTGTTCTATAACTTTTGCCATTCCAACACCCCTGAAGTATCTCTAGACTCATCAGAGAAGACTGTGTCTGGCATTCAGTATTCTCCCTTGCAAGTAACAGAATCCAGTACAGTATCCCACATGGAAATTGGTCCTATGGAAAGGACGTCAGTGCCCATAGAATCATCAGGAGAGTAAAGAACCATGTTAGGAAGTGGGCAGGTTCCAGGGATTATACAAGGATGGACCTGCAAGGATTCTAACCATCCCTTCTAACTTTGTCCTTTGAACCCAAGTGCTGGGTAAGGCCTAGGATCCACATCCTAAAGTTTCCATATGCTCCCAATAGTCTATTGAGCTATTTATTTTACTGAGAAATTAGTTCATTGATGAAGTCAGAGTCCTCATGATCCAATACATTCCCAAAGGCCTCACCTCTGAGCCCTGCTGTACTTGGGACCAACCATTCAACATTTGAGCTATGGGGGGGGGCATTATTTATCTATCATGGTTAGTTTTAATGTCACCTTGCCATAAATTAGAATCACCTGACCAGTGAGCCACAACTGAAGAATCGTCCTGATCACTTTGACTGATATGGGAAGACTCACCATGACTATGGATGTTACCTTCTGGTAGCAGCCAGACTTTTTTTTTTTTTTTTTTTAGTGTTGGGGGAGGGTGCATCAGGGAGCTGAAGATATGCTGTGCAGTGAAATCCATTGGCTGCTCTTCCAGAGGACCTGGGTTCAGTCCTAACACCCACACAGTGGCTCACAGACACCCACAACTCCAGTTACAGGGGATTTGATGCCATTTTCTGACCCCTTCTGGCACTAGGCTTGCATGTGGGGCACATATATTTGTGCAGGCAAAGACAGGCATGTTAGCATTCAGGCATCTCTACTGGCCTCCCCTTAAGGGTCTCAGCTACAGCCACTAAGAGCACCTCCTGTGCACATTTACTACATTCCCTTTTAAAGGGGCCCTGCCTACCTCCTGTCTTTCTCTCCCTCTCTCTGCTTCTGTGCCTGTCTCTGTCTCTCCCACTCTCTCTTTCTCTCTTCCTCTTCTCTTCTGCTGCTCCTGTCCTCAGAGGCCAGTCTTTCCTCTCCCCTCCCCCATTTTACCATTCTCTTTCCCCCAATTAAAAAAAAAAAAACCCTACCCAAGCTCTGTTGCATGGCATATTTTGTACACATTTTTAAAAAAGATTACAGCAAGGCATATATATACAATACAATAAATCTGAACAAATGTATATTTTAACTCTTTAAAAGAGTATATTAGGAGGAAGATCATCTTGCCTTTTGTTCACTTAGCTTTCCCTCTTGCTTCAAGAGTTGATTTGTACTCCTCCTGTTGCTGCTGCTGATTGTGTTGATGATGATGATGATGGTGATGATGATAATGACTATGGTATGATGATGGTGATATTGGTGATGATGATGACAGTGGTGGTGATGATGGTGGTAATGATGATGATAGTGAAGATGGAGATGATGATGATAGTGATAGTGATGATGAGAATGGTGATGATGATGAAGAGGAGGAGGATGGTGATGACGATAATGGATGATGATAGTGATGATGATGGTGATGATGATGAGAATGGTGATGATGGTGATGATGATGATGATAGTGCTAATGATGATTGTGATAATGGTGATGATGGTAGTGATGATGATGGTGTTGATGATGATAGTGAGGATGACAATAGTGATGATGTTGATGATGGTGATGATAATGATAGTGATGATGTTGGTGATAATGATGGCGATGATGGTGATTATGGTGGTGGTGATGATGATGGCAATGATGGTGATCATGATGGTGATCATGATGATGATTATGATGCTGCTGCTGCTGACTATGATGGTGATGTTGATGGTGGTGATGATGATGGTGATAATGGTATGATGATGATGACAATGGTGATGATGGTTTTGATGATGGTAATGGTGATTCATTCACTAATAACAGAATTGTTTCCAAGCTTTCTTCATGGACTAGGGACTAGTAGCTCTCAGCTCTTCAGGAAATTTCTGGGCTTTCAGTGCCAGATTGGAACTACTGAGGCACCCAACTTGTGAACTGAATAATAGCCAGTTTACAGATTCAAAGAGAGACAGCTATTTTGGGACTACTCTTACTGTTGAGGCATTTAGCCTCAAGGACCATGTAACTACAGGGTTCTCAGCTTCTCAGGTAAGATTTGGCTCTTGTTACTATTTTAAAGCTGACTTAATGAATTTGGATGTGCATGTATTTTCTTCATCTCCTTGGTTCTGTCCCTCTAGAGAAACTTCACTAAAACAATATCCAAAGCATAACAGTGTTCATTACCTAAAAAAGTAAAATAATGGTAGCCATTGAGGTGAGTGAAGGAATATCAGTAGTGTTAGAGAGAGAGGGCACAACTCCACAGCACTGTCCTCACAACCTGAGTAGTGCCATACATCTTCTAGAAACCTCAGTTCAAGTAAATGGGATTCTTGACTTCAACACTGGGAAAAAAAAAATGGGGCAAGTCAATATGAAGCAGTTGGAATTCATTAAAAATAGAAAGGGCTGGGAAGATGGCTCAATCAATAACGTGTCTTCTGTAAAAGCATGAGGGCCTGAATTTGGATTCCTAGCATTCATGTGAAATCTCAGCATGGTGGCTGTACCTCATTTCTGGGGGATGCAAAAACAGAAGAATCTCTGAAGCTCATTGTCCAGTCAGCCTAGTCAAACTGAGGAGCTCTTGGCTCAGGGAGGGAGAAGCCTTGTCATTTAAACAAGGTGAACAAGGACAGGAGAGATGGTTCAGTGGTTAAGAATACTGGTAGCTCTTCCAGAGGACCTGGATTCAATGGCCAGGATCTAGATGGTGGCTCACAACTATCCGTAACTCCAGTCCAAAGGGATCCAACACCCTTTTCTATCTTCCTTAGACATCAGGCACACATGTAGTATACATACATTCATTCATGTAGGCAAAAGAGTCACACACAGAAAAAGTTAAAAATAAAGGAAAAATTAAGGT